GAGGCTCCGACCCATCCAGCATACCCCAAATTGATGACATGTAGCGTGCACCAACGAATGGCAGCGGGCACCTTCAAGCACTCCACCCACAGGAGGGCACCTCACTTCGGTTCGATTCGGTCTTTAAGCTAGCTAGTTTCGGATCAGTGACACACACTAGTTATGATATAAGGCTAGGGCTAGAGTTTAGTTTAGGGTCGGGCTGATTTGTTGGCCCAGGTCACACTTTTCTCCGGAGGAGTCTGGCTTGAGGCAGGCAGTGAAGCTCTCCGTGCTGCGTCGTTCAATACTGTCCAGGTTGTAGGGGAATTGGACATACTCGTTCAGCTTCATGTGGCAGTGCATGCATATGCTCTTGTTGTTCCAGCCGAGGTTCATGTTGTAGAGGGCCTGCTAGGATCCGAGTTGTTTTTGGGTTTGATGCTAAAGCTAAACTATATAACACCTCTTATTACCTAGTCTTCCTCCACTACAGGCTACGTACTTTTAAATTTCAATTGATCAGATCTGAACGAAATCGGATGCAATCAGAAAAATGGTCGCGGGTGTAACATGTTGCACCTTCACGAACTTCCAGTCGCCCCGCACTTCTGTCGCCGCGTAGAACTTTGGGTCGTCTCCACAATCCTTGAACAGGAGTTCGTCCTTCAGGTTCGGCTTGATAACATTCTCCCATGTTTCCCTCGTGAACTCCGTCTCGAGGTGTAGCGGAGAGGCCGGCACTCGTCCATAGAATAGAATATTCAAGGAGATGGCGATCTCAGCAGGGTAGCTTGTACCGACTAATTATATATACTTATATATTGGAATCGAACACAACAATAGTACTCGTAGTAGTTGCAGGAAAGAGCACCGGGGCAAGGAAGGCATTCAGCGTGTCAAATCCAATTGACAAGCCCTGAGCTGCTGAAGTGCATACATACCATTGTAAGTACGTTTCAGTCCATTGCAAAAAGCTAATGAAACAAGAAAGCTCGAGTTCTCAATCACGGCTATAGTAACTTCTCTCAGAACGAAGAGCGGCCACGTCGCAGCCATAGAGTGCTTCGAGGTAGCCAAGCAGTCCGATAGTGTAACCACTACAAGTTTGTTGCAGTTCCGGTCATACTGGGCATCATCGCCGTACAGCCCCAAAGGTCTGCACATCTTGTCATGGATGCACGGGTGGTCGGAGCCGGTCTTCTCCATGTGCGACCAATACTTTTTGGTTGCATCCTCTAACCCTTGTTCCAAGTGGCCCTTCAAGCTAAGCTGCACCATCAGCTCGTGAGGGAGAATCAATGGCATCTTCCTGGAACATGCTATTCGAAGTACGGACATGCGGCTGACTAGCACTGAAGGCTAATTATATCTGTACATGACCGTCCTTTGCACCACGGTATCATCCGTCATTGATTTTCGCATAGGGACCAGGACGTAGCGAATGGACACCTCGGTTGTAGAATTACGATTGGGATTTCGATCTCGCAATGCACTGTAGACATGACCGAGCATTGCAACCCACATTTGTAGGATAAGGCTCCGAAGAAGGAAAAGCCCGAAGCATGTCACGTTGGGCGTTCTGGGCATGCTGGATGTCAGCCATCCGGCGGGTGCCTCCAACCATCTCCACCCCGTATGTATGCTTCAGCTCCTGCCGGCAGGTGCTTGATTGGGATTGACGATATGCTGCTGGCGATGATTTCGGGACACGAGCAGGACTGTCCGGCCTTCTTCAGAACTCGGCTGATGTCCCGGACTTTCGTGTACGACATTCCCTGCAGTATACTCTAGCGATTGAAGGCGTTGGGTTTTTAGAGTTGAGCTTTCCCTGGTTGTTTCGGGGTGTATACCTAGCTAGCTAGCTATCTATCTAAGGGAGATTGGACTCTCAAAAAATATAGTTTATAAAGGCTCCTCCAGCGACTCCCTGTTGGGTTTGGGGTTTAGGGTTGGGGGGTCTAGGGTTTAGGGTTTAGAGGGGTTTAGGAGTTAGGGTTAGGGTTCAGGGGTGTAGGGTTTAGGGTTACATGGGTTTAGCAGATCTATTTGTCTCTTTATCTATACTAGATATATATATATATATATATATATGTATGGGGCACAGATTGCAGACACGGTACACCACTGCCGGCTGCACGAAGCAAGTAGTTCGCCATCGGACTTGTCGCGGGCGTCGAGCTCGAGGATTCTGCGGAGGGGGGTGTGCATATATTGCATCTAGGGTAACCCCTGATGTCATTCAGATGCGGAGCAACATGTGCAAGCTGATCATCACGATTTTCTTTGCAAGCCGATCATCACGATTTTCTTTCAGCAAGACACTCGGTAGGCTAGTCAGCGTGAGCCGAGGCAGGCAGATTGGAGCTTCGAGGGGCTCGGTTTACCGGATGCATATTATGAGCTTTAGATCTAGAGGCCTGTACAGGGTTTCGCTGCCGGCACAAACTCATGCTGCAAAACTTGTGTGATTCACAGATTCCACACAACGAGGAGACGAGGAGCCGTCGACGTCGGCTCTCACTTCTTGGCCTGTGCCTTCCTTACCTTTCTAGACTTTGCCTTGGCCGTGGGGTTCTCTGCGGCTTTGTTGCTCTTCGCCTCAGATCGCGATCGAGCTAATAATGCAAGCTAGCTACCAAGCTCCATTGAACGAAATTCTTTATGCTGCGAAGTTATATAATTAAGCTAGGCACCACTTGAGGTTTGATGGTCTTCAGGACAGTCTTCAGCTCTGCCAAAGATTTGTCTGCGCTCATACACAAATCAGCAAGCTCAGCGTCATTCGGGGTCTCCTTTTGCAAGGCCATGTCGATCAGCTGCCGGTCCGCCTGCAACTTCTCCACGAAGGCTTGCACCTCGTTGCTGTAGCCGGTGCGGATATTGGCGGGCCTGAGTCATGTTTTTAATTTTGGTCTAGATATCAGGAGTTTGCATGCGAGTACTTTAAAGCCAGGAAACAGTTTGCTTCCATCCACTTGGTTCTTGTAGTCCTCAGTCTCCTTCACCTTGCTTTCCAGTTCCTTCGACTTAGTCGTAGCAATCTGGCATTGCGTGCGGGGGCCCTTGTCCCGCTTAGTTTCTTTGTCCATGGCTGGGACATCTCCCAAATCTTGTGGCATTGCCGAAAACTCGCGGTGCCCGGGAGTGCCTTCCCGGGCTGCTGCAGTCCTGAGATCACGTGTAGATTGCGGTTATAAACCTAATGGATGCGGTCATAAGCACAAATGCACATATCATGCAAACTAGGGGCATGATCTGCCGAGTCTGGGAACCATCAAGTCTCGCACCTTCACCGGCGACCTCCTGTTCCACAGTGTCCTCTTTCGTCTTCTGCAGCTTTGTCATGCTCCAGACCCGGATAAGCTGCCATTCCTTCGCAACAGCAGCGTGCAGTCACAATGTCCCCCCAAAGCTAATATAAAGTAATTGCTCTAGATCTATGCTAGACAGAATGCAACAGGACAGCAACATGACTGGTAGAATATATATAGATGCAGCTAGGATTCGGGGTCTCCCGGAAGGTCGGGATGGTCTAAGATGAACGGCGTGTCCCCGTGTTTACACTTCTTTTGGAGTTCTTGCTTCTGGTGCCGCATCTGCTTGGCAGTTGCCAAGCCATGCTTCTGCTTTAACTCCCGGAAGGGCACGTACTCCTCCTCACCCAACTGCTTGGTGCTAGCAGTAGAGCGAAGGCGGATCAACAATTGGCTTTCCTGCCAATCCCCGCTCGTCTGCAAGTACTCATCGAACATCTGGTTGAGTACGGTGCTGTCTTAGTGAGATCATACGAGAACACATGGTTTATATTCGGCACACTGCAATCATGATAATTCTTGCCCAGGCCACTTCTCTTTGCCTTCGTGGCCATGTCGGAGATCTCAGCCGGGCAATCCTTGCCTCAGCTGCTGTGTAGCGGGCGTAGGATATTTCGGACTTAGCTATAGGTTGATTTAAGGCTTAAGGGCTCAAGGGCTTAGGATATATATATGGGTGTAAGGAGCTCGGGGCGGAGCGGCTCCGGTGTTACGAGAGTTTAGCTGGATTTAATGAGCTGGGCATTTATCAGCTGGTTTAGGTTTTCGTGTCTACTTGGGTTTGAGGGAGCTTGGGGATTACAGGGTTCAAAAAGGGCTTGCGAGGGTTTGTGAAGTTTAGGAGCTTTGGGGGGTTAGGGGTTTCAGTGGGCTCGCAGTCTCGGGGTGGGACTAGGCCGCTATGTAGATAGGGCTTGCAGGGCTAATAGGGGCTTGGGGATTTAGGCATTGAAAGGACTTGGTCGGTGGCTTGCAAGTGCAAGGATTTAGGGCTTCAGGATTTGCAAGGTTTAGTTTGGTTCTTGTGGGCTTGAGTTTTGGGGCCTCGGAGCCAATCGACTTAAAGCCCAGTGACTCCGAACAGAACGGTAGAATCTCATGTAAAGGTTGTGGGCCAACCTCTTCTCGTACTCCTCTGCACTCTCGCCCGGCTTCTGCGGATTGCTTTCCTGAGTTTTGCAACAAAAAAGAAGCTACCTTGAGGTCTTTATGTATTCAGGGTATACACATGTACATGCATGCATACATATATACATAGAAAAGCACATATATATATATATATATATATGCATACATAGTAGCATATACATATACATCCGAGGAAATGAATACATGCAACTACAGTGCTCAGTTGCATTTATTAAATACTACATATATACACATTTACAAATACATATATATATATACATGTATATATATATATACACACATATGTATATATATACTTATGTACGTATAACCTACTAAATAGATAGTACAGATGTATACTATATATACTTATATATTTGTATTTATATATATATATATATATATATATTTAATGCACGTATCTACTTGTTTTGCTTTTTACATATAACAATTGAATGTAAACTCTCTACTATTCAAGAATATCTACATTCGGAGTGTTAGTTGCTCGGGGGTTTGTTGGCATGTATGGATTAGGACAGCGATTGTAAAACAGATTAAGTACCCGGTAAACTCCAATTAGGCACTAGCTTCCTCCATGGTATCGATCGTAGACTTGTTGGCCATGGCTGTTCTCTTTGCTGATGTCGGGGCTTTTGACTTGGGCCCGGAAGGGACGTCGGCTTCGATCGCCTTTGCACCGGTTGCCTTCTGAGGCACATCCTGCTCCTCATCATCAGAAAGGTTGATCACCACATCCTCGGGTGGAGGCTGGATCACCCCGGGCTCGGCCTGACATCGCGAATTCATGTAGGCCTAAGGACGACTATTCGGAATCGAGGGTCTAGTACATATACATGATAATGGTAATTGCAACAATAAACAGATGCATGCCTTGACAGAGGATCCACAATTCGGCTTGTTATCCATGAACGAGTTCATCAGTCTGTCGAGATCTTGCAAGTCCTCGTCGTCGCCATTGTCTTCGAAAGCATCATTGGCAGTCAAGCTGACCGGAAGCCTTGCTTTGGCAGACACAGGCAACTTGTCCCACATCATCAGGAGGGCATCGGCGCACCGGTTTTGATGCAGCACTGCATCCGTCACCTTAGCATTCGTTTCCACCTGGCTCTCCTCGTAGAACAGCTTAAGGTTTGCTTCGATGGCCTTCACTTTGCTGTCGAAGGTTGCTTGGGACAGCTTCTTCTTTTGCAAGTGATCACTAAGCATTTTCTTAAGCTCGTCAGCCTGCTGTTCTTTCACCACAAACCCTGTCAGGGCTTGCTCCTGGGCAGCACAAACTTCACGTTCCAGAACACAAGCTGCTTGATACTGAGCTTCGAAGTCACGAAGCATAGCCCCCCAGCGACAAGCGTCATCTTCGGAAAGGTCCTCCAAGCCAAGCCGAGTCGTGACGGCCCCAACATCCAGACCGGCACTCAAGCAGACATGGTCCCGGATCACTGCAACACAGCTGGTCAGGTTCTGGCCCAGCAGCTCGAGATTCGAGGCAGGGATATCGGCGCACTGGAACAGCATGTCGCGTACGGTACCATGGGCATCACTAGACCACTCCATGCTAGGAGGGAGCTGTGAGTCCTCGAGTCCAGGCACAGTCGACTGTGTGTCTATGCTATGCACCTGAGTTCCTGTCGGGATCACCTGCTGAGTTCCTGCTGCCATGTCCTGTTGGGCTGCTAGCACGGCCTCATCCGGAGTGTCTGTGGGGATCTCCTGAGTTGCTGTCGGGATCTGCTGCTGAGTTCCTGCTGCCATGTCCCTCTGGGTTGCAACGGCCTCATCCGGCGTTCCTGTGGGGATCTCCTGAGTTCCTGTTGGGATCTGCTCCTGAGTTCCTGTTGGGATCTGCTCCTGAGTTCCTGTTGCCGCTGCCTGCTCTGCTGCCACGGCCTCATCCGGAGTGTTTGCGGGGATCTCCTGATTTTCTGCGGCGATCTGCAACTGAGCTCCTGCCACCAGCGAATCATAAGAGCCTAGCATGTATACACAGCGGCCACATGACACATATACACGAGACCCAGAAATGCTATGCCGAGATCCTCTGTCTGGGGTGGGCTCCGCCGGGGCCAACACATCAGCTGGGCATTCTTGAACCTGGTGTGTTTAGTACGATAGGCTAGGGACCCAAGCTATAAATACAAGCAGCCATCATGTTCATGAATATAATAATGCAACCTAGGTTCCCCGAACAAAGCCTTCTTCGGCGTCGGCACTTCTCCCTTGCATTTCACCTTCTTGAGTGCTGGGGACCTGATAGGTGGAGAGGCCTTGTTGAGGATATTCGAACCTTGCGAGGATCCTGGGCCCGGTGAAAACATAGAGGTCGGAGTCCCGGTCGATAAAGTAGACTTCGCGTTAAGTCTCCGGAGCTGCGGGGCCTTGCAGATTGTACTGATTGAGCTGCTGCTCGCCGGAGAAGCAGCTTTGATAGCTGTCGGCGGCGTGTTCACCATTGCTCCTGGACAATGATATTGCGGCCATGATTGTGTGTACATATATGTGTACGTATGTGTATGTATATATATATATATATAGTTATATTCATGTACATGTGCATATTATAATATGTGTGTATATATATATATATATGCATATGAATTTGCATGCATACAATATATATATATATATATATATATATATATATATATATACATATGTATATACATGTATAATGTAAATATACATGCGACCGTGGGTCACACATGAATCTATGCATGTATACACGTATGCACACACATAATTACACACACACATATATATATATACACTCACTAGTACTTTTTTTTACATGTGTATATGCACACAGGACATCCGGTGCGTGTACCTTGATAAGACTATCATATATCTATATATATATACACACATAATATATTGTGTATATGGCTACATGTCCACAAAACATATGCACCGACATCAGCATGCACTGTCGTTAGACGTGCACACGTATATATAGATCTAGATGTACCACACATCCAACAGGACCCACTCTATCTTATAGGACTATATACAATATCTTGAACCGTCTAGTATTATAAACCTGAATCATTCAGTCCTGGAGTTGCTACCTTTGCAAGGGCACGGTTAACTTCGGCGTCGACATCTAGCTTCCTGCTGCTTGCGGCCCTTGTAGGAGCCTTGGACCGTGACTCGAATGCACAAAACATAACTAGAAACAGGCTAGATCCACCGATTACCCGATATAGTTTATGTGCAAACTCGCCACCGCCCCTGCAGCACTCGCAGGTGCCATCGCTGCAACCGATGCTTCCCGGGGCGCTGCGGCCAAAATGGCCAAAATTTCGGGCACAAGGCTCGATATTGCTGCACTTGGCCCAGCTGGAACACCAAAACACCCCAATAACCCAGTATCGCCTAGTATCGCCTAGTATCGCCTAGCAGTCCCCGGCACCCGAAAGGGCCTAGCTGGCACACCAAAACACAAATAACGCGGTTTAACGCTCAGTATCGCTCCAGACCCCTTGCGTTTCTCCCAGGCAAGGCATCGTAACGCCGAATATCGCTCTTTAACGGTGCCCCGTTTTCCTGGTTTTGGCCGCTGAGCCCGATATTTCGAGAAATTTGCCGATATTCCCACCGAAAGCCCAATCACTGAGTGCAGGAAGTACAGGCTCATATACAACAGCTGGGCTCAGTGGATGCAGGAAACGTAATTCTCCTAGATCCCCGGCACGGTACTCACATATAATTTGTGCCATATCCATGTACAGACTCAAAACCATCTAGATGTTCCAACAGAGCGGTTCAATTGATGTTAAAATAATATAATATATTATATTATTTTAACATCAATTGAACCGCTATATTATATTATTTTAACATCAATTGAACCGCTCTGTTGGATCCCGGCCCAGCTTTACACCCATGCTGCTTGCATATGCAACAGATCTAGATAACGATTCAGAAAACATCCTTGGACCTGAATTTGGCTCTAACGACCGAGATCAGTAGTACTACAACATATATATTGCGGTGGACCCACGAATGACCTTGAAGCTTCGAAATATCCTTATTGTAGCAAGGGTTGATCTACCTAGCACCGGAAGCCGAAAAGCCAGGAACCTACAGAGACTCGATCTACACCTGCGTCAGGCGAACTCATCTCGGCATCGAAGATGTCCTGCAAGCGGAGATCGCGAAGGGCATTGGAGAGAAATGAGGCAGGCGACGGAGATTGGCTCATGACAGATCATCTCGTCTAGGCTAGCAATTTTGTTTTGTTGCTGGGGTTGCTGCGGGGTTGCCATGCGTTCCTAACTCTAGCTCTCCAGTCTAGTGATGGCATATTTATAAGCTCTAATTGCAAGAATCTACATGGGCTGTGTGGGCTGCCACCTCTGTTGCCTAGATTCTCGAGATTTTCTCGGATGCTGCTGCATATCGCCCGGCTTCGTCTCTGAATGGGTCTTGGCTGTGATACAGGTCGGTGTAGGTAGCTAGATAGGCAGGGAGGTAGGTAGGTACATATATGTATACACATATATATATATATATATATAGAGCTACAGGTGGGTGGGTAGGTAGCTAGGTAGGTATATAATATTAAGGGTTATAGGTATGTAGGTAAGCAGGCGCTATGTAGGTAGCATACAGGCTGGTAGGTAGGTATGTAGTTAGCCAGGTAGGTAAATATATTTCAAGCTATACATAGGGGATAGCTGCTATCGGTACGTAGGTAGGTAGCAGGTATATAGGTAGGATCCGGAATTCATGCATGCATGAAGGGATGTGTGCGTGTACATGTGCATGTATAGGTACATGTATGTGGTATATACATGTGCAGCACATGTGTGTGCATTCGGTTGTATACGTACACATAAATATACTATAAACAACTATATGTGTAATATGTATATATATATATATACATATATATACATATGAATTCGACACACAGACACGACACTTTATAATAAAATGTATACATGTAGTCTGTGTACTATACCCATGCACATGTATGTACCTGTTATCCATGATGCCCGCAATCCTACGACACCCCTATCTCGAGACAACCACTGCCTTGCCCTCCACTTACCGTGCTTAATTATATTAACAAAAAACCCAGCCCACCCATTAATGTAAACAACAGACGAAATGCGTTTAAACCCCGCAACACCTACCCAGGAAAGTCGCGGAGCCCCACGATTCTGGCCCTGGCCTGGTCGTCCTGGATCAGATGCTGCCGCTGGCATGGTGACGGCCTGAGTAGGCAACTCAATTGGGGAGTTATGTTATTAGGGTTCAGTTGTTCAAGGTTGTACGATGTATCAGTCCGGTATATGCGTATAGATTACAAGAATATATGATCATCAATGTAAATTCCATGACCCGCCTTAGTACAAAATAGGGTGGGCTCTGATCAAATCTAGGGCATGCATGACAGTAGCTTCGAGCGAGCCGTTCGGGTTTTAGGAAGCAATAGTTCCTGCGTACTATATATATACACATATAAATATAACTAATTATAAATTGTTCTATACGTACTAGGCTACTATGTTAGTATATATGTAAATAACAGAGTTATAACCCCTCCAGCTACGAAGTACTTAGGCTCCTAAAGGAACCCTATAGATCCCTTTAAGGAACCCTATAGATCCCTTTAAGGAACCCTATAGATCCTTTTAAGGAACCCTATAGATCCCTTTAAGGAGCCCTATAGATCCCTTTAAGGAACCCTATAAAAACCCCCCCTACAGCTGCGAGCTCCTAAACCCCTACAGTAGAATCCCGAGCTTGGAAGCCCCATAGCCTCAATCCTTACAGTAGAAGCCAGAAAGTTGGAACATGGCTTTAGGAGGATTAGTGCTAGGATCCCTTATACTTTACCTTAAGGGCATGAGGACAATGATGTTCCAACTTTCTGGCTTCTACTATAGATAGGTCAAAGGAGAAAAGGAAGGACCCTTAATAAGGACCCCTAGGTATATACCCTTAATATAGCTATGCTACACGCATTATATAGCCCCATGATAGGGTATGCCACAATCTGGTTCCCCTATCCGAAACCACTGCCACTTCCCCGACCGTGCGAATGGATAATTACATATTAATATTATGTATGTATATATCTATCAAAAACACCCATGGCCACTCCACCAGTTATATACACACTAGCATAGAGAAACCAGAGAATGCCTGTAAAATCACGAGCGCCTACCCAGGAACTTCGCGGGGCCCTACGAATCTGGAATCGGCTTGCCAGCATGTCCTGGATCAGATGCTGCCAGGCGGCATGGCGATCGATGGCCTGAGAAAGCAAACTAACTGGGGATTTAGGGTGAAGCTGTTGGGGGTTATATGTGATGTATCACTTCAACCGATCTAGGAATGGGTGAGCTTAGCAGACTATAGTAGAAGCCAGAAAGTTGGAACATGGATTTAGGAGGATTAGTGCTAGGATCCCTTATACTTTACTTTAAGGGCATGAGGATAATGATGTTCCAACTTTCTGGCTTCTACTGTAGGGCCATTCATAAAGGGGATTCGAGGGAGACTTTCGGATTTTGGATATTATTTGCTGGAGTTGCAGGCATTAACTGGGGCTTTCCATGGGACTGCATGCCGTTTGATCAGCGCAATCATCAGCGTAGACATCCAGCACATGTCTGATTTTGGGCCCAACATCGTATCGTACGGCTGAGCACCTGTACTGTGATTTCTGACATAATATAAAGCCCTGCTCAGCCTCCGACATTCGCACATCCCAGGATCGATGAGCGAAGCGTGACTCCACCTTCATGCTATAGGCCGACATGGGCATATGATCTTGGATATTGGATCCGGAGTTTTCAATAATTAAATTCAATTGTGGGTCTAGCCTAATAAGCAGTTCTGCACCTTGGATGAAGAGGTTGTCGTGCTATGTAATGTTGCCGCTACATCATCGGTTCGTATGTGCCAGACTACGTATAGCACTGCCGCACTATTTTGCCGCATAAGGGGGAAAATGCTTAGAGGCGATA